GGCACGTGCCTAGCGCCCGTGTGACGCTAAGGTATGTGCCTAGCGTCCGCGCGAAACTGGCACGTGCCTAGCACTCGTGTGACGCTCGGGGCGAGCCTGGGATTTGCGTGACGCTCAGGGTGTGTTTAGCACCCACGCGACGCTAGGCATGTGGCCAGCGTCGGGCGGGCGCTAGGCACGTGGTCATCGTCGGCGGGCGCTAGGCACGCGGCCAGCGTCGCGCGGGCGCTAGGCACGTGCCAGCATTGCGTGCGCATTCACGTCGCATCCATTTGCATTGTGGGCGCGCGCACGGCACCCCATGCCTCCCCCTTCCTTTCCCTCCGGGCCGCTCACAGGGATTTTCACCTCAGATTGACCCCTAATTCTAATCTATTCGGACTGATTCCACGTAATAATAATAATAGTCGTTATAATCATAGAGTTGGAAGGGACCTCGGAGGTCTTCTAGTCCGACCCCCTTGCTCAGGCAGGAACCCCCTACTCCATTTCAGACAAATGGTGGCCCCCGTCTCTTTTTAACATTTGCGCTCTTCTGACCTTGAACCCCGTCCCACAGGAGACTGGCTGATCCGGACGGTGAAGGTGGAAGCCGATGACTACGCGGAGTGGCCGGCCGGGCTGACCACGGAGGCGATGCTGTCAGGACTGCCCCTGGCCAGCGCCTGCAAGTCGGAAGGCCGCATCCCCGGATCGGAGTACAAGGACGGAGCCGGGCTGGGAGAACTTTCCGGGCTGGCCCTGCAACAGTGGCAAATGTTGAGCGAGGATAAGTCGCTGGGCTGCCCCCGCTGCGAGCATCCCGCCGCCCCGCTCGGCGGCAGCCTCGGGGACCCCCGCCCGCGCCCCTTCGCCTGCCTGCAGTGCGGCAAGGCCTTTGGCAAGAAGGCCCACCTGACGCGCCACGCCCGGGTCCACACCGGCGAGCGCCCCTTCGCCTGCACCCACTGCGGCCGGCGTTTCTCCCAAAAGATCCACCTGGGTTCCCACGAGCGGGTGCACACCGGCGAGCGCCCCTTCCCGTGCGACCGGTGCCCCAAGAGCTTCCGCAAGAAGACCCACCTGGTGCGCCACCAACTCACCCACACCGGCGAGCGGCCCCACGCCTGTGCGCTCTGCCCCCGCAGCTTCGTTCACCGCCGACACCTGCTGCGCCACCAGCGGCTGCACGAAGAGGAGGCGGCCCGCGTCGGAGACCTGGCGGCGTTGGGCCAAGCCGCCCCTTCGTGCGGGAACAGCCTCGAGCTCGGCCTCGCGGGGAACGTACCCCTGTCTGGAGACACCCTGGCCGCCTCCGCTGTGGTGGGACAGAGCTGTAGGGTTCAGGGCGACCACGCACAAGTCAGCTTCCCGTACGGGCCTGGGATGGAGCTGGGAAAATTCCCCCCCTCTTGTGCAGGGCACACGGAGCCCAGTCAGGCCCCCCTCCTCTTTAAGGCAGAGTCTGAACCGGAGTTGGGTGGGATCCCGGGCGCCGAGAGGGAGGACCGGCCCATGGGAGAAGCCTTTCTGGACCCAGCAGGTTGTAGAGCCCTCTGCGGGGTGCCGATCCCGGACGGTCCCCCGTATCTGGAGCAGGTGGGCAAGATCGAATCCGAGGAGGACCCGGGGGCCAGTCAGCAACCAGAAGAGAAGCCGTTCCTGTGTTCCGATTGCGGGAAAGCCTTCGCCTGGCGGAAGAACCTGGCATCCCACCAGCGGCTGCACGCCGAGGGGGGACGCCCCTTCTCCTGCGCCGAATGCGGCCGGGGTTTCAGCGACAAGCGTCATCTGACGGCCCATCTGCGTGGTCACATGGGCCTGCTGCCCTACGCCTGCCCCCACTGCGAGCGCAGCTTTGCGCACCGGGCCGGGCTGGCCGCCCACCAGTGCGGGGGCCACACGGGGCAGCGCCCCTTCCCCTGCAACGAGTGTGGCCGCTGCTTCGCCCACAAACGCCACCTGCAGAGACACTGGCGCAACCAGCACTCGGCCGAGCGCCCCTTCGCCTGCGCCCAATGCGGGCGCGCCTTCAGCACCCGAGCCAGCCTGCTGGCGCACGTCAAATCCCACGCCGGGCAGCGCCCCTTTGCCTGCCCTCTGTGCGGGCGCGCCTTCAGCCGCAAGTCACACCTGGCCCGCCACGAGGCCGTACACACGGGGCTGCGCCCCCACGCCTGCACCCAGTGTCCCCGGCGTTTCAGCTCCAAGACCAACCTGGTGCGGCACCAGGCGGTTCACACCGGTCTGCGCCCGTACATCTGCACCCACTGCGCCCGCAGCTTCAGCCGCAAGACCCATCTCTTGCGCCACGAGCGCACCCACACCAGCGCACCCTTGCCCACCGCCGCCGCTTGGGTGACCGCCTTGCCGCAGAATTCCCTGCTGCAGCCGATCGAGCAGCGCCCGCCTCTCCTGTTACCCATGGCTCTGGAGTCTCCCTGGCAGTGAGGAACCCCCGCCCCAAAATCCTCCCCGCTTTATGCCGTCATCAACGTAGCTTGAGGTGTCCTTTGTCCTTCCGAGCGGCTGTTGATCCACCACGGAACATTTCAGAAGCAAATCTTGCGAGCTGAAACATGACATTTTCCCATCCTGGCAATTTACAACGTTTCGACGTTTACAACGTTCCCCAAGTTTTCCAACTTTGCAGACTGGGGCGGTAAGCAGGGAGAGAAGATGACCCTGTGCGACTGGCCAGCGAGAGCGCTCACTTCCCCCGCAGCTCCGTTTGAGCGAGCGGCAGGCACGCACTCAGTGCACGCCGCTCGCGCACATGGTGCAGGCTCTCACCCGCTGCTCGTCCGCTGCTTCGGCAGCACCGTTCCGGACTGCAGCGGGCGGTTCACACCGGGCTGCGCCTGTACATCCGCACCCACCACAGCTTCGGCCACAAGACCCATCTCTGGCGCCACGAGGGTACCCCACACCAGTGCTCCCCTGCCCGGTTTCACCGGTTGGGTGACTGGCACGGCGAGCGGGGAGAAGGGATGGTCCCGTACGAGTGCCTGCAGCTCCGTTTGAGCGAGCGGCAGGCACTCGTGCACGCCGCTCGAGCAAATGGTGCGCGCGGCTCTCACCCCACTGCTCGTACGCCACTGCAGCCCCGTCCCAAAATGCACCAGGCGGTTCATACCAGGCTGCGCCTGTACATTGCACCCACTGCGCCCGTAGTTTCGGCCGCAAGACCCCGAGCGCAACCACACCAGTGTTCCTGATTGGCACGGCGAGTGGGGAGAAGGGATAGTGCCGTACGAGTGCCTGCAGCTCCATTTGAGCGAGCGGCACGCACTCGTGCACGCCACTCGCACAAATGGTACGCGCACTGTCATCCAGTGCTCGTACGCCACTGCAGCCCCGTCCCAAAGTGCACCAGGCGGTTCATACCAGGCTGCGCCTGTACATCTGCACCCACTGCGCCCGTAGTTTCAGCCGCAAGACCCACCTGTGTCGCCACGAGCGCAACCACACCAGTGTTCCTGATTGGCACGGCGAGCAGGGAGAAGGGATAGTGACGTACGAGTGCCTGCAGCTCCGTTTGAGCGAGCGACGTGCACTCGTGCATGCCGCTCGCGCAAATGGTGCGCGCGCTCTCACTCGCTGCTCGTCCGCCGCTTCTGTGGCCTGGTTCATGGGCCCCCCTGGGCTGCAGCCCACAGGTTAGGGACCCCTGCCTTAGTGCATTAAACTCCTGAGCTACACCTAATTTATTCCGATTGCCCGTCTCGGAAGGCCTGCCTCTCCTTGTCTTCAGTTGTGGCCAACACACACCCCGATCCCCGTTAACAACTGTCGCAAAGACACACAACGCTTTTTTTTTGGTGAAAGACTGGCAATCCGCAGAGCCTCCGAAGGGCCCAGACGTGGGCGGCGGGGGGGGACGACCTCGATCTCTTTTTTTGGCAAAACACCAAATTATCAGGCTGACTTTGGTTTTCAAGGATAACGGGAACGCCGGTGGGGCTTTTTGGGGGGCGGGGGAGAAAAAAGGGAGTAGACAAATCATTTTAGTAGCGTCCTAAAGGCAAAAAAAATATAAATTACGTTTTGTAATCCTTTCTCTGATATAAACAATAAAAAGGGAAAAAAATATGACTTCTGCCTCGGGTCCTAATTTTATTTTATTTTTATTTTTTCAGAGTGAAATTGAGGCCTGGCGAGATGGGTGGTTATGCCTGGGGGGGGGGGGTATACCAAAATATAAAAAAATATAAAGGAAGAAATATAATAATAATAATAAAGTTGGAAGGGACCTTGGAGGTCATCTAGTCCAACCCCCTGCTCAGGCAGGAAACCCTATACCATTTCAGACAAATGGCTGTCCAGTCTCTTCATAATAATAATAATAATAATAATATAAAGTTGGAAGGGACCTTGGAGGTCATCTAGTCCAACCCCCTGCTCAGGAAGGAAACCCTAGATCATTTCAGACAAATGGCTGTCCAGTCTCTTCATAATAATAATAATAGTAATAGTAATAATAATATTAATATAAAAGTTGGAAGGGACCTTGGAGGTCATCTAGTCCAACCCCCTGCTCAGGCAGGAAACCCTATACCATTTCAGACAAATGGCTGCCCAGTCTCTTCATAATAATAATAATAGTAATAATAATAATAATATAGTAATAATAATATTAATATAAAAGTTGGAAGGGACCTTGGAGGTCATCTAGTCCAACCCCCTGCTCAGGCAGGAAACCCTATACTATTTCAGACAAATAGCTGCCCAGTCTCTTCATAATAATAATAATAGTACTAATAATATAATAATAATAATAAAGTTGGAAGGGACCTTGGAGGTCATCTAGTCCAACCCCCTGCTCAGGCAGGAAACCCTATACCATTTCAGACAAATGGCTGTCCTGTCTCTTTATAATAATAATAAAAGTACTACTACTAATAATAATATAATAATAAAGTTGGAAGGGACCTTGGAGGTCATCTAGTCCAACCCCCTGCTCAGGCAGGAAACCCTATACCATTTCAGACAAATGGCTGTCCTGTCTCTTTATAATAATAATAATAGTACTACTACTAATAATAATATAATAATAAAGTTGGAAGGGACCTTGGAGGTCATCTAGT